CTTTAAAGGTTCCTCCCCCGGGTAAACGGGAAGAACCTTCTCCTACGAACCCTTTTTTTAAGTTCCGTACACCAGAAAAAGGTTTTGCAAGAAAATCCGAAACCTTTAGGGTTTCATATTCAATGGCAATGGTTTAGTACGAAGCCATTGGGGATTAGTAAAAAACTATTGGCATTGAATACGAAACCCTAAAGGTTTCGGAGTTTCTTGCGAAACCTTTTTCTGGTGTACGGAACTTAAAAAAGGTTTCGTAGGAGAAGGTTCTTCCCGTGTACCCGGGGGAGGAACCTTTAAAGGTTTCGTAGAACTGAAGAATCGTTTTTCAAACCTTTGGAGGCAGTTGGATTCTTTTTCAAATTTACCGAACCTTTTTCGAGGGTTTGGTAAAAAACCTATTTTTTTTAGAGTGCAGCGAGTAACATTTCTTTTACCAATTTCTACGACACAAAAAACAGCTCAACAAGTCCGTTTTCAAGCACTTTCCTAGTGAAAGTACTCACCTAGCGAGTACTCAAAAAGTACTCACGCTAGAAAATGCCGCGAGTACTCATGAGTACTCGGGACTTTCGAGTACTCGTCGATCGTACTCACGATGAGTTTCGAGTATATGAGTACTACACATCCTTACTTTTATGGCAGTGTATTCTAGTCGAGTGCTACGACCGTTCATTTCTTATAGTTAGTAGCAGCTAGACCATTTAAAGTCCCGGTTTGTTGCCCTTCGAGAAGCTTCGTAGACTCTGGATAAGTTCGCTTCTCTGCAACGCCACAGTCACAGAAGGAAATTATCTTATTAAAATCGTGAACTTACCGTCCATAGAAAGTCAGCGCACGACATCTTTTTCGTCCTAACACATTCCATTCTGTATATTGAGTCTTTTCAGAAAAAAAGACGACGAGTACTACAATGAGTAGTCAGGGTCTTGCCTATAAGTAGATGTGTAGTGAAAGATTCGTATGAGTACCTATGTAAGTACTCGGTCATTTTACATACTCATGAATTTTTGAGAGTACTTGCTCGAGTAGTTTGAGTACTGATGCCGGCAAGTCGTACTCTCTGGATGAGTACATTCACTAGGGAGTGTGGTAGGGGGAGTATTTTTGCAACTTCTAGAATCATTATGATATTCTGATAAGTATGTGTGAGTGATTATGCAAAAATGTCAGATCTTTTACGAGAATCAATAAAATGCACTCGTATAAAAAATTCATTAGAAAAAAACAAAATTTTATTTGTTTATTTTAAAATGTTAATTACCATCTGTGAAACGTTTATCACGAATTGATAAAATAACAGATTTATAGTTCGAATCAGTTTGACATCGATAAGTAAAATTGCATTGACGGAGACATAATGAATATTGTTTAAAGCATTCAATTGAAACATCATAAAAGCCGAGCTCGGAAGAAGAAAAAACGACAAGACACTGAAGATTTTATAATCGATCGATTAAGTCAAAGATTTTATATTTTGATTTCATATCAATTTGAAGATTTTCAACAGATGAAAACATCTCAAAAATTGTATTAACAAAAATTGATTCATCAATTTTGGTCAAGGTAACAGAACGAATATGTTCTGGTAAAATAAATGATGGATTTAATTCTTTCATGATCAAATGTTGTAATTGTGGAGTATAATATAATAACTCATACTGTTTCCCTAATGATAAATTACTCATCGATGATATATTGAGTTATCGTATTTGATAGAGATCAACAATAGACAGTGATATCGTCATGCATGGCAATGCACTACCAGAAAGTTTTAATAGATTCACTTGAGTCTGACAATGACATGGGTCATATATGCTATCCTTAAATAAACAAGTAATACTATCCTTTTTTCTTGTATAGAAAAGATATTTTTTCATATATGATGGTACTGTTGAATGAGGAAAGGAATATAATGGATAATATTCAATAGTTTTTGGCCAAAAATGAAACACTGTATAAACAATAATATATTTCCATTTTGTTTTATCACATGCAACATACCAATGTTTATATTCGAGCCAAAATGGTGAAGAAAACGAATCGAGATATGCTGTTGATAATTGATCATGATTAGATCTTTCTACAAAAAATTTCAAATCGAATTTATTGATATTTGTTTTTGAAATAAACTATTCCCAACAATAACCATCAATAACATCAATTGTACCTATCGCTTCAATTATTAAATTTGTTAATTTTTCTAATTTGATTAGGCATGTTTCAAGTATATCGAATGATATAATATTATCTGTAATTAAACAGTAGATAGTTGTTTTCTTCTTAATAGATTTGATATTAACTTACCACTACCAATTCTTAATGTTAAATATGTAAGACTAGATGATAAACAACTCAAATCGGGACAAGTTCGTTTTGTATCCAAATCAAGCTGATCAATGGAAATGTCTAGATGAGTAATTGAAGGAATCAAATTTTTAACTATATGACTTAATATTGAACTTGAACAGTAATCAATTGTTAAATAAGTTAATTTATAAAATGGAAGATTACTTGATTCAAATACATTATCATCGTCCAAATTCAATTTAGTTAAAATATTTCTTTGTCTTTCTAATGTTTCTTTGATAAAATTCTGAATATGTTCATTAATATTTCCATTTATGAATAAAAATGATGATACATTAATGAGTAAATAAAATGTGAAATAAGTTATATCAATTAATTGAATTGTCTCTAGACAAATAAACTCTTGTTGAAAATTTTGAAAATGGTCAATAAATAATTTCATTTGATCTGGTAGGTTCTTTTCCGAAAAAAACAATTGATATAACTTGTTCTGGTTGAAGATGATGAGAAATAAAATAAAATTTTAATCGAGAAATATCTTGAAAATTAAGATGAATTCGATATAAATGAACAATACTATTCAAACGATGATTAAGACTAAGAAATATTTTATATAAATCATAGACTGATAGATAATCAAATATTTCAAAAAATAATTCTGTTGAAAATAACTCGAGACATTTACTCATTTTTAATCCAACTTATCCAATATAACAATATTTATTAAAATCTTTTCAAAAAACGTATCTCTTTCATCAAGAAGAAATAAAATTGATTGCAATTATTTAGTGATCAGCGTGTCAACCGCGTCTCATTACCTTTCATATTATTTTCGCATATAATTACAAAATATTTATTCGCAATAAATAACGAGTGGACCATAACAAACGATCGTGTTTTATATTCACTGTTTCTTCCTCTTTGAAACAGCAAATGCAAAAAACGATCTTTTCATTGCATTCCTTTCCATTATTGATTACAATAAAAAATAAGGTTATGATTTTATTTTGTCAAACATTGCTTTAAATAAATATGGAATACAAAGATAACTCAAACCAAGCCTTTCGAACGATAAACGTACAAAGAAAATCTTTGTGATTGTCAGTTTCAAACCGTAATTCAGTTTCGATCGAGCTAAAAATCGCCAATTATTGTTGAAATGAAAGTGAAAATGCACGATGTTACCATTAAATAATAACTATAATTATTTGAATGGTAGGTATTAGGATTTGTATCAACAGCCGCGATGAAGAAATCAACAAATCCCACACATTCTAATAGCAGTTGAACAATTTGTTACCCATCGTTTTACAAAAAGTACTGTAGATAATAATACCCAAAACGAGAAAAAAGATCGCCAAAAACAAAAACAAAAACAAGATTGTAATACCAAGACAAGGATGTCCACAATATTTTATTAAACTTCTTTCATTCCAACCTGATGCAGCCACACTTATCATTGCAAATAGAAGTGCGACACACTCGCACTAACGACAGTCCATGGCTATATTTGATGATCTTGACTTGTGCTACTTCGAGCAACGGTAGTTCAAACACCTCTCGTTATAGACATGTCTAAATAGTACCTTGATTCTCGAAGGTTAATTTACGAAGTAAATGTCTATTTCTGATAAACTAAACAATTTATACAGAGAAAAAATTTATGCAGTTATATACATGTGACAACATCAAAATACTCAGTGAGCGTAGTAGAGTATTTCAGAATCGAGTGTGATTAGTTCTGTGAGAAAGTGTCACTGATTTTTCCACAGAAGCCACCAAATACATTTGACGTGAATTGAAGCGTCTGTGTGGATGGATATCTCGAAAAAATAAAGTAGAAATGAAACAATTTCTCATGCTAAGTATAGAGAACTAAAAATATCTTGACAAAGTTGTCGGATGTACGCGACGCCATTCACTAATCGACCGCTGCGAACTAATAAGAAAAACAGCGATTGCTGGATTTTGTTATGTGAATAATTGATAAGTGATTCAGTGTCATAATTACGGCGGACTATAACTATTGTTTTTTGAAAAGATCATCTTACTCTTCATCCTAGTTGAGTGCAGCTAGTTCTGAAAATAAGAGCGACTACAGTATTACATATATATTTGATATCTTAATGTTTGAGTTTAGATAAGTTAATAATCATTGGAAGATATTCAAAGAATTTTCCTTCTGATTGTAGACTAAAATCCAGTTCATCAAAGAAACTCAATTCTTTGAATAATGTTAATGATTTTATGTTTTGGAAATAATATTTCGACTTGTTATTTAAGACATTTGAAAAGAGAAATAAATCTGTAACATTCTCAAATACTTTTTCATTGTTCATCAATGTAATACCATATATTTTCGTATCCAATGTTAGCTTGTATTCATTCCATACATAGAGTATAGTATAGATCAGTGTCTGAACTTAATCGAATTCATAATTGACATATCAGTGATATTGTTTATGCCAAAAATCAGTTTGAAATCGATAAAATTTATTCAAAATAACATCGTAATTATTTTCAATTCAAACAACAAATTTAGAGTTTAAAATATCTAAATGATGTAATGAAGATTCAATTAAATCTCGTCAACGTTCATCATGGAATTATCCATTTGATATTCAATAGTCATTATTAAGATTTTCAAATTCGGTATTTGTTTTAATAATAATTCAAAAATATGAAAATTAGCATTGGAATAGTCCATAACTAATTATTTTAAATAAAAAGCATATATACTAATAACATCCAATCCATCGTTTATAAATGAAGAATCACTTAGCATTTCAATATGTAAGTAACCTGCGCGTTAAAAGTCATTACATAACATCTTTATTCGATTTTCGTACGATTATAAGTTGCAGGAGAAAATAAAAAGCAGCCATCTAGAATAAGAATGTCATGCTCTTCCTAGATATATAGTCAGAAATTTTTTCTGACTTAAACCTGATTCATTGAGAGCAGATCTTTGATAGGTACCAAAAATGACGTTTGTACAAAACACTAGTTTTGCAGATCTTGGTAAATATGTTTGCGTATTTTTCGGATACTCAAATGGAATTGAAGAGAATTAAAAGTAGTGGCTTGGAGTTAAGATGTAGTCCTTTTCATAAAAATATCCTTAGAGTTTTACTCAGACTTGCGATTATGTTAGCTGTAAGCAAATATCTGGATAACTGGAAAAATATCGTTTGAAACAGGCTGTTTTCTTGTTGTTGTAAGTCCTCTAAAGGGTATTCGAGAATAATTTCTATTTCCTATTTTTGTCGAGTATTTAATGTTTACAAAATCCTCGGCTACAATAAGATGAAATTCAAATGCTTGAAAAGCTAAAAAACATTTTTCAAAATGGTACTCTTTACGTGAGATGACGTTTTTTAAAATAATCTTCTTTTCCAAATTTCAATATTTAAAATGCGATAGATTCTAATCATTTCCAACGATGGTTAGGAAGCGAAGTAAATTGGACATTTTGTAGAGCAAGCTTCGTTCTACAAACTGATGTATCGAAAGACTTTGTTCTGATTTGAATTGATGTAGTTTTAATCAAGATACAAAAATTGATTACCTGACCAATTCTATACAAACGGTCATCTTCAAGTCGGAGAAGAATTCTGAACATATATATAGTTTGAAAGAGCATGAAATTCTCATTTTAGCTGATCACTTTTGATTCTCTCTTGCAATTTATCAATGAATGAAAATCGAACAGAAATGTTGTGTAAAGACTTTTGACACGCAGGTTATATTGATATAGGTGTATATTTGAATATCTGCCATACATATTTCGAAAATCCTTCATAAACTATTAATGATGTTTTGTTATTGTTTTATGAATAGTTGTTTAATCAAATATTAGATTTGATATTGATTTCATTTGGATTTTTGATGATAACAGTTTAGAGAATATTTTTCAAGTTTCATCGGACATATCATTAGAATAAATATTCGATAAATCAGATGTTAATAATAATATTATCAATTAATGTTAATGATCGAAGTTGACAGAATTTATTGAATGAAATAAATGAGAGAAATACATTAACTCGATCACATATATTTTTATTCGATAGTTCTAATCAGATAATTCGACTTTTTCTTTGCAGACTAAATAATATTTTTCTGATAAAATTGATTAGATAACGATTTATTTTTATGAAGAAGACCTGGCCTCCGATTACAATTTTTTAAAAATATAGGAATCCTTAGAGGATCAAGTTTGTCTAGAATATAGGATTTTGGATAAAAAATGACAAAAATATAGGATTTTTTATACATCGTTTTTGTTCAATTGTTTTGGTGTTTTTTAACTTTTGCTCGAAAATCGTTTTAATGAAACTGTTATAAACAGCTCAACCATAATCAAGATCCTTATGCAATTTCGTTCTACTGAAATAAGTAGCTAATTCGAGAATCATTATAAAGTTTAAATATAACACCTTTTCATAAATCAATAAATAACAATAACGTAGATCATAAACTTTGAAACAATAAATCCATGAAAAAAA